GATTATTGGATCAGATTTTCTCATTAATAGTATCAATCAATTGGCAGTCAATTATGTTTTCAGTTATTATGATATAATCAGTCGATTGAATGTATTTTCGCATTGAATTCAATTATAAATTAGTTATTCATATGATTTAGTTATTGAAAATAAATGTTTTCTCATTTATAATGTCTTAGTTGTTCACAAATTATTACATATTTTGTTTTGTATGCCCTATTAGCTTATAATAAAATTAAATTAAGTGTTTAACATTTTAAATACACTGTACAATATTTTAAATACAATATAATATATTATGCTATTTAGTTAATTTTTCAAATTTTAATAAACTTCGAAATAGCGGTAAATACCGGTAGATAATTTTTAAATAGTTATGTAATTGTATAGTATACAATAATATATTTATAATTTAATACCGTACAGTATGACATTTTATAAAATTATAAATTATTTTCAATCGCATTCAATAGACGGCTGTTTATTTGCCATTATCCTGGTGAGTGTTAAATACATATTACCGTATTAATACAAAATGTGTATTTCCAAGAATTTTACCAGATTTAATGATTACCGTAGTTATAAAGGTTGTGTGCCTTACATACAGACAAATTTGAAACCAAAATATTGGTCATAATTAGAGACAATTACTATATTTCGGCAATTATTGCACAAATATATTGTACACAAAGGCTTAGTTCCGACAAAAGACTACTTATCGGACGATAATTATATGCGAGAATTTATTTCGCAATTCAATGAATATAATCTCCAATTAATTATTTATTATAATAAAATAATCTGAAAAGTTTGTTCAAATCAAAGACTTTATTTGTATAATTAGTTTTAATATTAATCATTCATTTCAATTAATTAATTATGCGTTCAATTCTTTGGCAAAATTATTATAATAATTATTATGTAATTGTGTTTCGTGTTTGTGTAAAATATTACATTTTTAATTTATAATGTTTTTCAGAAAATTATTATTTATATATATTTTTAAACATAATTAAGTATTCATTAAAATAGGATTTGTTTGAAATATATGTCACTAATTGATGGTTGGGTTGTGTTTTCCGATTTGACAATAGCTTTGAAAGACTTTTCTCAACACAATTAAGTTCGTTATAATTCTTACGTAAACTCTATGTATAACTATAATATATGGAAGTATTTATACAATTCATTATAAGGGCTATAATTAACAAACTATTGGA